AGGGTCTGTCACCTGTTGAAGAGGAGCTCCTGCGGAGTCGAGAGCAGTCATCCCTTTTCTTTCTTTCCTAATTTACACACTGGTCTTGGCTCTGGTTTGACTAGACAGCAAACCTCTTGGAAGACCAGCACTGCAAAGTCATATACTGAACTGGGAGGTAGCTTGTGAATGTCCTACAGATCAGTGGAAAGCTCATTTATATCTACTTTCCCACTTTAAAAACATGGAAGAAAGTAGTAAGCAGAGCAGGATTTCTCTTTTGAAATGATGCAAAATCAGGATCTTACAATTGTGTTCATCAAAGGAGGCTGCTTTTCCAGTGACATGTGATACACAAAACTAACATTAGAACCGGATCAGCGTTAGCAAATAAAACCATGAGATGAAAAATTCTGATGGAAACAAGCAAGTGAGGTTCAGTTTAGAAGAAAAGGCATGTAGGAAATAATAACCTTAAGTCCTTTGAGAAAGAGCAGCCTTACTTGAAAAGAGTGAGTTGATATTGAGTGTCAAAATGTTTACAAGCCTAAAAATTTATAATTCAGTACTGTTGGTACTGAACTAGGATATGCTGATCCTTTTTATATGACTGTATACAGATCCGGATACCTCGATACCAGAATGACAGGCACATATTGGAACACATTCAGCAAACAGCAACAGTGGAGATAAAAGAGCTATAGAGACTAATGTGTATTGAGAGAGTAAAGAGGTTAACACATACCCTGAGGGTAAAAACAAAAAATGGTAACTCCTACAAAATACTGGAAAAGTGTGAACAACAAGGAATTAAACTGTTTAGTTTGCTACACCAAGAAGTAAGAACTGTGTAAGTAAGAATAGTAACTTATCCTACCCATTGCGCTGCTAAAGACACACATAATGAGTAGTCTCATTTCTAGGTGAAAATTAGAATTTGTTTCAAACCTGTTGTTGCTACGTTTGGTTTCCACATTTTCACACACTAGTGTATTTTTTTCCCCCAGAATAACATCACCAAAATATGCTGAATTGCTTCCCCAAAAGATTTTGCTCACTCTCTCTCTAAATATACATGTAACGTAGCCAAGAAACAAGAGTGGAGGTTTTTCTGTTTTACTGCTGATTGAGCATCTGTCATTTCCACTTTTCCCACATTTCCAAACTGTGTATTCTAGGAGTTATTGTGTTTCCTCTCAGCTACAAAAGCATTACAACCACTGCCAATGTCATGGGTGCTTAAGACTCAGGCACGTCCTACAGAGATGAGTCTAGACCCAGCACTTCATTATGGACCATGAGAACAACCCTTTGCCATTGCAGGTGGCCAAGTTTTGCTCATGATTACATGTCTGCTCCTAAGGGCTTGAAGGTACATTTGTAACTAGAACCCCATTGCCTTGTCAGGATTGTAATTCACAGGCTAATCAAAAATAGTTGATGACAGCATTTGTTATTCAAGGGAAGGAAACAGCCTTTGAAGGACATTTCCACCCATCGGATTTCGTTATGCAACACTGAAATACATCTTTCTGAGCATCTGGAGATTTCACATCCTGCACCTTTGTAAAGTGCAAACTTCACTCTTTCCCAAAGGGATGATGGGTGAGAAAAAGCTATCAGGTATAACTTCCAAAAATTTCTTTTCTCTTCCTCCTTTAAAATCTTCACAGCCTCATGCAAACTCTCTAGTATGATCATATATTTATTAGATACCTTCACAACTTTTATTCTTACTACATGGTACAAAACACTGAATTCTCAATAAAAAACACCTGCATAAAATGTTACATTCATAATTCAGAATTGTCAATTAGTTCTGAAAAGGTTAGGGGCAGAATCTGAAGAAAGACTATAATCACAGTTCTGTGAAACCTATAATACTCAAACCATGCTAATCACAAGCTGTATATACTGATTATATATTTCCACAACCATAAAGGATCATTGAAACACTATTCACACTGTATGCCACTGATTTCCTTCTTCGAAAAAATAACATTCTTACTTATCTAAAGAGTAAGTTTTATTTTTGACAAAATTTGGATAACAAAGACAGTGAGAAATTCCAGGCTCAATTACTCTTCTTCCAGACAGCTTCACTTTTCAAAAGTTAATCTAATACTATTATACTGCCTGTTATTGCTTAAATCCTGCATAAGCTTGGCTTTATGATCAAGTTTTGTAGTTCTTAGTTGAGAAAAATGACTTTTGAAACCAAGAGGAATGTTGAAACTTTGTAACTACAAGCTGCAATCCTGCCGTTCTAAGCTGCACAGTTGTATGTTTGTGTATGGAAAGAGCAGTATAGATTAGTCCAAACTCTAAATTAAGAGCCCTGATGCAGAAAGAGAATTTGTCTCAAAAGAGTCAAAGACTCAAGGACTTGTTTATTGTTTTAAATCTCTCAGATTCTTCTCTAAGTTCAGCTGTGGAACTGAGAAAAGCTGCTGTGTTTCCCCAGTGGTTTGGTGGCTGTAAGCGATGCAGGTCGGTGGTCTGAGCTGCACAGCCAGCCACAACCAGAAACCGACCCTGCAGCTGGCAGCAAGTTGTGCGCTTATTCAGATGCCATCTCTAAAGTGACTCTGTCCTCCCCTGGGGCCTGGGCACACACTAGTGGCCCTCCCACTCCCTCTGCCCAGGCTCAACTTCTCCCATGGCAACCTTGAGGATGCAAACCTGAATTCACAGCTGTGGCAAGGCTTGCCCTGATTTCTTACCCTGTGACTAAGTCATGCCCTCACTTCAGACACTAGAATTATCACCCTGATGTTTTCCATCACACCATCAGCAATTAAAAAGGGAAGGAGACTGAAAAATGAAGTGCCATATGGAACGAAAAACCAGGCAGGGTATGATGCTCTGTGAACACAGCTTCCTTGGCATCCCATCCCTCTGGTGTTACAGGGACACCCGGCACTTTGCAGCAGAGAATATTTTGTCAGTATAAAAAGTGATTTGTCCACAGCCAGAACTGACAGGACTGACCTGTTGAGTTGTCCATGTCTTACCAGCAGAAGTATCAATCACTTCCTTGGGGATGTTCCCCATAGCAAGGAAACTCATCCATGCCATTACTCTACAGACACAAAGGCAGGTGATACATTGCACGAGACTGTTTTGCCCAATAATCTGACCTTTGCAAAAGAGAAAGAGCCCATTAGAAATCAGTGTACTGCACACAGAAATGTCTGCTCGCATTCCTCTTTCACAGACATGTGTTTGGCGCCTGGGGTATTAACTTTCAGTCTTTGTTTCTTTTCATTGCATATTCGTCTGCAGTACTGTTGCCTGCAAATGGGGTGCAGTAGGAAAACACGTTGTGTTGCCTTTGCCTTTTCCCAGTTCACTCAGACAAAAAAGTAGTTCATTTGTAAGACCAGAAGCAATAATTTCTTAAGTGAATGAGATGCCATAATCTAATAAGAGTTTATTTCAATTTTAGTCAAAACTATAACCATATTAAGCTTACATTTAGAAGTAAACTCAATTTTACTTAAAATTTCAGAAGGGGGGTGAAGGGAAGTGTTAATGCTCCAGTAGCAATAAAATAAACAGCACTGTAATGAAGTGTCTCTGGAAAACAAGATGAAAACAGTAAATGCTTAGATACAAAACTAAAAGCAAATAATTGTTGTTTAATAAACATAAAATTGCTTAAAGAAATCTTACATCCTTTTCTGGTTCAGAGCTACACTATGTGCTATTTTGATGAGGCTTCTTGCATAAGTAAAAAACAACTTGGATTCTGCAGACACAGGAATGAAAAATATATTCAGCAGGATGTTACTCACAAACCACCCAAAAGATAGTTTTGACCATAACACAGAGAAATCAGGCTGACATCAATGAACTGTACAATTTACATTGTGAAAAATCCCAGTTCTACAAAACAAGAATTTGCTGAATTTCCTCAGAACTAATGCATTTCCCACTTTATATACAAGCACACAATTCAATTGTTTTTTAATATAGCTGAGAGTATGTTTTTGTTAGTATCTATCCCTGCGTTCTGCTGCATTTTTGGAAGGTCTACTCCTGTGTCCTTATTTTCCAAGAATAACCACTCAGGTTTCTATTTTGACACTAGAAGGTTACAATGCTCAAGGAAGACATCAAGAATTATATAATCTCATAAATCCTTATTCATTTTTTGCCCTTTGTAAAACAGTAGCTCACAACAAGCACTGGTACATATGTATAACAATTATCATATTAATGTGCATAATGCATATTATACACATTCATTATTAAGCAAAAAATAACTTCAATAGCAGGATGAAACTGCGTATACATTATTAAATAAAGGAAGTGGGAAAGAACATTTACGTGAATACACTCCAGGAAAGAATAAATGGCAGGAGAATACTTGGGGTAGAAGTCATTTCACCATCTTCTAATATGACAACAACTGTGTGTTCACATACTCACAACTACCCAGTGCAGGAAAGCTGAGATTAAAATCTTCTGTGCATGAAGACCTGTGGACAATGACGTTAACACTAGTCACTCAAAAAAGGATAAAGAGACAGTGGGACAAAAAAAGGAAGTGATTTTTGTTAGCAGCATTATCCTCGTGGATTCATGGGCACCAGAGCTTTTAAGGCTTTGAGAGCAGAATTCCTTTTTCTGTATACATGGCCAAAAAAGGGTTCACACAGGCCATAATAAACAAGCATTTTCACACAGCGAAGTTGTTACTGGAAATGATGTGCATTTGGAAAAACACTCATTTTCCCCTACATGAAATACAAACAGGTTTTCATTACTAATGGGGTTTGCTCATTGTCTAGAGCTACCTCTAGGTATCTCTGGATTTCTAGCTTAAGATCCCCTATGGGGAATCCATTCTAGATGGAATTTCATATTTCCAAAGGAGGAAATCTTTCCTTGGCATTTTCACAACTCTTTCTGGTGCTATAACATATCAGTAGCCATTGATCAAACGGTTGCTATGAAGCAGAGCAGCACCTGCTATTCTGCTCACAGATAGGTATGTTGATTTCAGTATCATGCAATTAATTTATTGATATTTTTATTTCATTTTTCAACATCAGTTCTACTCATTTCAAACAGCCATACAGAACAGGGGGTTGCTACCATACAGGTAACAGCGCATGGTTACAGAAGAGTCTTTCTTCATTTGTAAAGATAACCTCATCCAAACACTCTTATTTACAACTCATTATGTTTGCAAACTGAAATAGGTAAATTCAGAGACAAACTCTCATGTTCTTCCATTCTTAGTTTACCCAGTGAGAAATGGGCCTTTCTTCTGTGTCCCACCATGTATTAGCCCCTATTCCTTTGCATCCACAGAAGCAGGAGCTCCCATGTGGGATTATACTCCTTGAACTGTCCCCTTGCCATCACCATTGCCACTCTCACTCCTGATACCAAGAGGGCAGAGAAGTGACACACCTGTGAAGGGACACAGCATACTGCTACATTTCGTCTGAGAAATTAGCAACATCACATCAGTGTAATGCACTTGATTACACGGATCTCGAGATGAGTCTCATCTGAAAGGTTTCCTTTGACAGCCACCGCATGGGACCTCAGTGGGCAAGGGAACCAGCACCCATGCAGATCCTGCTTCTGTCTTGACCTTCCTGAAGGCCCTCCTGTCCAGAAGTCAATGTGACTTGCTCTGGCTGGGACATCTCTGGATCATGAAACCATTAAATCACTAATCACACCAAACCATTACATCTCCTCTTCTGAAGGAAATTAAGGTGAATTCTCTCTCCATCCCTTGCTTGCGTTTACCTACAACAACAGGTGAGCAAAGTCTCAAATCAAGAAAACCCGTCACATCCCTTCAGCAGTATCACTTCAGAACACTATTTTACCCTCATTAGTTCAGTGTTACATTACAGGTACTCGTCCAGAAACTTGTCTTGCCTCACTAAAACATAATGAGTAGAAATTCCACAACAAAACCACAGCTGAATCTTCTGTTAACTGCGGGTATAAATCCCAACCTTAATGTTCTGTTAATACACTTCTAAACTGATTATCTCTATTCCAGTTATTCCAGTTTTAATCATCCAGATTTTAAACCAGCTGTCCAGAAGTCAGGATGTGAAAGCTGACTTACTTCCTCTTCAAATGACAGACAGATAGCCTTTTGTGTTCACAGATGCTCAGAAGGAAAGAAAAGTCACAGAAAGTTATTCTCACCATGAAGCATCAATTCCTTCCTTTGTGCTCCTCACAAGGGATTTGGGTTTTTTTTTCACAGAATGAGAATAGAAAGCATAAGAATGGGGATCACAGCTTCCCAAAAGATTTGAATAATTAAAAGAAAAAAAGAAAAAATAAAAAGCTTTGGTGGCCAGTTATGATACTGGGATGCTATACAACAGATCATAGCATCATAGAATCATAGAACAGGTTGGGCTGGAAAGGCCCTTAAGATCATCTAGTTCCAACCCCCCTGCCACAGGCAGGGACACTTCACACTAGACCTGAGTGCTCAAGGCCCTGTCAAAGACTTTCTGAGTGACCTTGGCTTAGGTAAGTCAAAATCCCTCTGGTCTCCAAGTCCACACATTAAGCAGGGATAACAGTAATACCGTCTTTGTGAACCCAGTGAGATAGTTCCTCAGTGTAATAGCTGTTTCCCAGTAAGTCCACATCAGACACCTGGGGCATTACTGACCTCTTATCCAGGCTGCCACTGCTGTATGACATAGGCAACTATGATGATGCAATAGCTGCTCAACAACCTTCTGCACAATCTTTCAACACCTAATGCAGATCTAGTTAACTCTGTGCATTTACTCAGTCCCAAAGAAAATCCTATGATCCTATCTTTCCTGCTACCTAATCCCGTATGCACCTCTATCGTTATCAGCGGTTATTCAGTACACTATCTGTTGTCAGCACATGTCCCAAAGTCACCAACTGCTCTGTGACCTTCTGTCCTATGATATCTACAGTGTCACTGTACACGCTTCCTACTGCTGCATGGCACATGAGCACACTCCCTACACCTACAGGAGCAAGCACTGCTGTTTCACTTAGGGAAAAGTCCTGTTACACAACAGCTTAGCAAGATAGAAGATAAGGAAAACCTGCTCCCAGATCCCAAGCAAGTGCCAACCCACCTCTGCTACGTCTCAGAGATGTCCTGAAGCAGGAGGCAAGGCTATGCTGCAGTAAGGGTGTCCCTGAAGCAGCCACGCTGCATGGAGTAAGTGATGGTCCTGTAATTTGAGTGTGAGAATGAGCCTGTGTGTGACTCTCCAGTCAAGGGGTCACATACTGGCCGGGAAGGCAGGACACCCGAGTTCCCAAACCTGCACTAGCTACAACGATGTTAACAGCTTTGTGTCATCCATGGTAGAAGAGCAAGTGAAGCGAATCTCAAGTACTCACATATACTCACACACATGCATGCATGTAAATGTGTCCTAAGAAAAATGAGTCACTACACATAATTTTTTAGGCTACTAGTGAAGGTACCTAACTCCAAGGAAGGCTCCATCTACAATCTAGAGTTAGCTCCAAAACTGAGTAAAGAAATGGGACTCAAAAGATACTTCAAAAGAAATAAAAAATAGAACAAGGACAGGTAGTCAGAAGCCTGCGGTAGCTTCCATGTAAGGAAATGATCAAATAATTCAGGACTCTAGAGTCTGAGGAGATGACTGAGGTGTAAAATCGTGTCATGGAGAGAGTAGTCTGGCACCAATTTTGTGCTGCATCTACCAGTTTAAGAGTGAGTGATCTCAAATGAAGCACCACATAAGAGTTCAAACTGAACTAAAAGGTGTAGTTCTCATGAAATGGGTGGAATTCCTTGCAAGGAACATCAAAGATTCACAAGTTGATAAAGGCTTAAGCAGCAATCAGATCACCTTTTACCTATGTTCTTCCCTAGGCATCCACTTAAGATTACTGACAGTTTGAAGGTAGGAACATGTTTTAATCCAAGAAAAAGAACAAAACAGTATCCCACATCATAAATTTCACAGTCAAGTCTGACCAGGGGACTGAAGCACCTCCCGTATGAAGATAGGCTGAGAAAGTTGGGGTTGTTCAGCCTGGAGAAGAGAAGGCTGCCTGGAGACCTCATAGCAGCCTTCCAGTATCTGAAGGGGGCCTATAGGGATGCTGGGGAAGGACTCTTCATTAGGGACTGTAGTGATAGGACAAGGGGTAATGGGTTAAAACTTAAACAGGGGAAGTTTAGATTGGATATAAGGAAGAAGTTCTTTCCTGTAAGGGTGGTGAGGCACTGGAATGGGCTGTCCAGGGAAGGTGTGAATGCTCCATCCCTGGCGGTGTTCAAGGCCAGGTTGGACAGAGCCTTGGGTGACATGGTTTAGTGTGAGGTGTCCCTGCCCATGGCAGGGGGGCTGGAACTCGATGATCTTAAGGTCCTTTCCAACCCTAACTATTCTATGATTGTAAGTTCCCGGGATCTGGAGGGATTGCAGGAACCAACCTACCTGAAGTACCAGTGATGAGGCTCATTCTCAAAAACTACCTTCATGATCAGACTGCCTCCCTGTCAAATAAATGTCATAGTCGACCAATTGGGCTAGGTGAATCCTTGCTTTCACCCAGCCCCACGTTCTTATGTTCACCCAGCCCCACAGTATCTCTCCTCATTAACAGAGTCTACTGATATTGACTATCAGTATCAACCTGTTTCAGTATCCAAATCCATGCACACTCCTGCTTCAGCATCTACTTGATAGGTGCTGCTTACCTAGAAGATACATTGGCATCACAGGTTGGAGTGCTGCAAGGCTTTGCTTCTCTTTGGAGGTAACACTTAGAGCCAGCTTCACGTTGCTCCGTAGGCAGTCCAGCATCTGAAAACTGGATGCTGTTAGCCTGTTAAGACACTGAGCTGGAAGCCTAGATATCATATAGGCTAGGGAACAGTGTTTCTGAGGAACAAGCTAAGAAGCCCTGCTGAGGGGGAGCTACCAAGAGGCAGCCAACAGGAAAAGATTTTTTAAGGAATATACTAAGGGCTGCCGTTTGTGGGGTTTAGACTCATTAAATACTTCCAGTGGGTCAAGATGCAGATCTTATAAGGCAAATAAGCCTCTCTGGAATGAGGCATAGGTCCTGAAATAAAAATTCATCATCATACTCAACTGCTTATGCTCTTTGAAAGATACACAGGTTTTATAACTTCTCTCCATACCTAACTGCTATCTAGATTGCACAGGAAGTGGCAAAGGAGTATTCTGGATCTTGCTCTTAATACAAACATGTCTTGAGAGGAGAATATGTTAGTTAAATAGAAAGACTCTGATGAAAACTTAATTAAAGCAGATGGAAGTAGCTCCATTGTACAGCCTACTCTGGAATATAGGAACCTTATGGAGTCAGAGTTTTTGTGAACCCAAGGGATTTTTGAACTCTCCGAGGGCTTGCAAACTGAATTTAGTCTCTTTTTACTCTGTCATTTAAACTCATCGTTTGTTTTATTTCATATAAGGATAATTCAATTTTTTAAAAACCACAAAAAATGTTTTTCTAGCTACAGACAATCATGTGCAATGTATTAAGGACAGAACAGCCGAACAGCCTCCAAGTCCAAGGTTTGGCACTGCCTCAGTCCTGAAAAGACATACTTACAAAAATGAGGATTTTTTTTCATTCCCTCTGCTGCTTTCCCAGGGTGTCTCTTTCTTTCTCATACAGTTAGCTCTCCGCTTCTCTTCTCACCCTGTTTTTCACCAGATACACTTCTGTCTTCCCCCTTTTTCACAGTCACCCTTAAAGAGATAAGCAAGATGTGTTCCCATTAATGCTGGAGTTGACATCAAAACTTTTAATGAATAATATTTCAGCAGGTTTGAAAGCTGTCAGAATGTTTCAGCCATGTCTAATAAGAACAGGATGTCCATGGATAACTTCCAGCACTCTGTCTTGTAAGTTTACCACTTCTGATTCAGAAGCATCGCATTTTGAACAGCACCAGGCTAAACCTTCAGAAAGTATTCACTCAAATTAAACTTTAAATTTGTTTGGGTGTCCTCACGCTCCCTTTTTTGCCTTCCTTCATCATGAACATGCCAATACACAAAATGATGACAGAACCGATCAGAGTAAGAAGTCAATTTTAACTAAATTCATTAAAAATTCAACAACCAGAGACCAGATTTTTTACAAATCTGAGATAACTGTAAATAGTTAATGGGGATTTCTCTAAGGAAAAAATAATCTTAACATGTATATAGGCACGTAGTGGTACAATACTCAGCACAAATATTGAACGTTCTCTTTATCAGAGACAGAGTTGAATTAATGGTTCATTCAGCTACTCCAAAGCAATAGCCCACCTCCAGGACCCACAATCACCAGCACCAGGAGGAACTTTAAAACTAAAACCAGCTTCTATATTGTGGCACATTGTTGTGTATCATCATCAGTAGTGGCATACACCTCAAATCTTACCTATCCTCCCACAAAAGCATCTTAAAGTCTAAGGGGTTTGATATGATTCATCCTGGGACACTTGAGTAACATCATAATATTTCTGTGAGAAATGGAGCAAGAGCCACTGGTTTCTAACTAGCTTCCCACCTCACAGACAGATAATTCACTGTCCAACAGGATCTTCCAAGCTGAGGAAAGAAAACTTGAACATTCACAAAGCAAGGCAGCTTCCAAAGAAGAGTAAAAAATGTGGGCACTGAGGATGCAGTTTATTGGTTCCTTCTTGTGTCACAAAACAAGGAGCAGTTCACAGGCTACAGTGATTCAAATCTCCATATTTTGAAAGACTGCAACTGCTTCTCCAGCCTGCAAAATGAAATCCTCTTCTTGTGTTCCAGTGCAGAGCCTCATGCCTACCTGACTAGCAGAAGGTCAGAAGGACTGCAGTGCTGGCCACTGTGCACTGGCTTAAATATCCAGGTTTAAAAAAGAAAGGGAGGTGTGCACTGATTTGGGGTATACTTTACTTCACACACGTATACATTTAGAAACATTCATTGCATCAGAGCTAGTACCAGAAAACAAGTAGATTTTGGATCTAAATTTACCTTTTTCTTGCATTTTTAAGGAAAAATATAGCAACACAGGTAAATCAGCTTACTGTCTTTTAAAGTACAGTGATAAACTTCCTATTACTGACAGCAGCATTACCATTAGCATTTGACTATTACTGTGTTGCCTGAAAGTCCTTGGCAGAAATCAGGATTCTGCCTCTCTAGATGCTGCAAATGGAATGTTGTGAAGAAGGTTGGTATCAAGTGTGATTATTAAAGTTAGCTGTAACCAGAACCACCGCTTAACGGAAAACTTTGGGAAGTCTTGGACTCACATTCAGACTGGATGCTCTGGCCACTTCTGTGGCAACTGCTTACTCTGCATTCTTGAAATCCTTAGTTGCTAACTCTGACTGGCTTTAAACTAGAGTCTCTTTTCCTGTCAAAATCCCAAGACACAGAATTAACAAAAACAGTGGAGTAGAAGAGGATGTTATTCTAATTCATGAAGTATTAAGTGAGCACAGAATAAGGATAGAGGCTGCACCAAAATGCAAGGAAGATGCAGTTTTATATATGACAGGCAACAAACTGCCTGCAATATACAACTAAAAGGGTTTTTCTTTTTCTCTAGAAGCAAAGAGGAGGGTGTAAGTGCAAACAAATAGTAAAACTAATATGAACAAAACAGGAAGATCTAAAAAAAAGACATCATGGAATAGTTGGACTCTGTCTCTTCAACAGTTAATTACCATCTTGCACTGGTGTACTTGCATAATTTCAAAACACTAGTATTGAGAAATGAGCACAGATTATTTCCTTTACAAGTAGGACAGCCAGAATATTTCTGTCCTACTTCATAGGAGGTTCCTTTCCCTTACAAAATGCCATGACTCCAGTCAGCAAACAATACAGTTTTGTTAACCAGTTACTCAGCCTCACATACAAAGTAATAAACCTTGTGATACGTTGTTCTCGCTCTATTAACTCTCCCAACAAATGTCTTTTGACAATAAAGAAATAATCGGTATCTACTGAGTGAATATTTATGTCTCAGTTTGCAGCTTTCTGTGCTACAATAAATCTACAGAAAAGACTTGAGGTAATGGCAAAGATTTCACAAAATATATGACAAAATGCTTCCATTGTAAATTCCTCTGTACCCACAGTTACAAGGGACATGCAGCAGCTTGCTGCTTTACTGTAGGAAAACCTGCAACACATATGCAAAATAGCAATAGAAACCAAACATTTTTAAGGACCCGATCTTCCAAGCTATTGAGTCACCACCAATGATTTCCATGGGAATGTTTGTGCTTAAAGTTAAGAATGTGCTTACGAGCTTTGCAGAGTGAAAGCCAGAGAACTCAGCTTCTCACAGCATTTGTATTGTCCTCATTTGAAACTGCAAAGATGATCCTGACACTATGCTGAGCCGTTTTACTTAGCTGATGCATTCTAGATGTAAGCGTTAGAACAATATGCTATTGTTTTCACTTAAAACTGCACGTTTTTTCCTGTGTGCATACTTTAAGAAAACTCCTTCTCAGCCTAACCTGAAAAGAATTCATTGACATGTTATTATATTTCATGAGTAAAGTGAGTACTTTCAGCACGTGGTTTACTATGTACTTTATCTGATTGCATTTGTTCTCCTTGGCCTTCTAATCAAAGCAGAAAATAGATTTGTTTGTGGTGAAAACATGACACAATTACCACCTCTGCCTTACTTTCTCGAATTCATAAGAACTTTCTGTACCTAGATTCGACAACTGTATTGTGAGTCATCTTCCTAGCACAGAGATGTCATCACGTTCATGACACCATGTTTTCTTTTTCTTGCCCCAATTTCCGTTCTGGCTTTAACTGAACAGTTTAACCTTGAACTTTCCCCATTGCTTCCTCTGTTAAATCCATGCTACTGAGAACTCTTTGCTGATCTCTTCACCTCTTGCATTCATGTTTACTGTGTATTGCATAATCATTATTAAAATCAGTAACATTTTCTTGGAAACATTTTAAAGTCGTTGAAGTTTTGAGGACTGTTGCCTGTTAGTAACCTGCCTACAAAGAATACCGTAAATCAGTGCTTGGCCAGTTGAACTATGATGATCGCTCGTGTTACTGGTGTTCTCAAACATCCTCATCCTCAAATGGCTGTGACTCGATTGCAACAGGAGTTTCACATACACAGGAAGAAACGCAACAAAAGAACTTACTGTTGCCCTGATAATACAGGTTTTACAAATCTTTAACCAAAATGACACATGACTTTCATCAATGGACAATGTTGTAATGGTTCTCACACTCTTGGCCAGGGTCAAACCAGCTGGGTTTTAAGAGCAAGTTTTTTTACTAAAAAAGCTGAAATGTTAAGTCAATGCTTTAATCCTTATGCTCCTAACTAGAAAATTTCAAATGCAAGTGGTTACAATAATGAGATTTAACACATCATACCACAATGTACCCTGGATCTTAAAAGCCAAAGACAGAATTTTGATGCTCTATTTTCATAATGGTGACAAACATAATAAATATGCACATTTTCAGACTATTTGCCCTAAAAAAGTTGTGCCCAGTCACTTGCACAGTCTTCCAAATAATTTATAGACCATTTTAACACATTTATCCTAGACAAAAATTGAGAAATTATTGTCCCAGTGGTTGCTTCTCTTGTCACTGGCTTCAGCAGCAAAACCAGTTTAAGAGGCCTGGGCTTCTCCTTTCACCACAGCAGTTTGCTGTTTTCCCAGCAATACTCACAGAGCTGCTGGTGGGGCTCCGTGAGAAGGTGGATTACTGAAAGGATGTGGGTTATGAGCAACCCTGAGGAGGCTGATATATTGTGGTGTAGGGGCAGGAATGATAGATGAGCAGAAGAGGCACATGCGAGGAGGCAGAACTCCTTGAACTGACATTATCTTCGTAACACAGACTGACATCCTGAGAAATATCCTCCTGTGGCTGGGGAGCAGCTATGGGGAGGTGTGAAGAACTCTGTGGCAAGTTCCTAACACCTTCAGTGAAGGGGAGAGGGCACCAAGTCTTCAGCAGCAGCTGTGAGTCCCAAAGGCAAGTTAATCACAGGCATTAAAGAAGTTACCAACTCAGCTCCCCACTCAAAAGTCTACAAATTACAGCTGCAAACTTCCTCCCTTTCTTGGGACTGCTTGCTCCATCGGATGTTGTGATGCTGCTATTTCACTGGCGCTGCTGTCACACGTTTTATTCATAACTGAAAAACTCACTGAAGGTGAGGCTGGATTTAAAGCAAGCCCATTCAGTCAGACTTCCCCAGCTGCGACAGATCTAGCTCCACTGGTTACCCATGCAGACTTCCCCAAGCTGCTCATTCAGCCCTCACCACCCATCCTGGGTGAGATAGTTGCACCTTCCCATCTGCTGGCGTCACTGTGTGCATAGCCTCCTCTAACCCAGTTCTGTCAAAATTGATCCAGGTGGTTTTTTAAAAATCCCTCACTATGAAGTATTTAAACTTACCCAAATCATTCTGACAGAACAATGTTAATGAGTAACCAGACATTCAATTCTGCTGGAGGCTGGCGCATGGGGAGGGGGGGATGTGGGCAAAAATCTCCCTCTGGAAGAAAGCGGCAGGCAGGTGACACTGAGTAAGCCTGAGTAGCAGTGCCTTCACCCAGCTGGCAGCCACCTTATGTAGGCTAGTCTCTTACTGGCTCACAAAGCAGGATCTAACCCTTCAGTTACTCCGAACTGATGCTTTTTTTATCAGACAACAGCATCTGTTACTCAAGAACAAATAGGCAAGACAACTCAAAAGTGCCCTAATCCAGACAGTATCTAGCTTTTAGGGTAAAAGATAAAACAGTAATAACAAAACCAAAAAAAACCAGTCTGAAATTTCATTTACACATCATAAAGTATAAAAAAAAATGAAAATATCCATTTAAGACCTTGAAATGCAAAATAACACCAGCTTCGAATGAGAGTTGCAAAATCATGGGGCAAGTTAGTCTCTTAGATTTCACATTTCCCAACTTTAATAAACTATGGAGAGACTAGTGCCTTATCTTATTGTCTTGGATTTCTCAAGTTCCTTTTTTCACCAAATAGGTTTCAGTTGTGGCCAGATGTCATTGATGTGGTAACTGCATTTGCTATCTTCTGGACTAGTCTTGTATTGAGTTAAATCCAGGTCAGTTCATTAAAAATTTGGCTGTGCCAGAGCTAGGCCTTTTTGATGGCAAAAATCATTTATTAATTATTCCAATGTATGAGATAGTATGGATGTGAGTCTGCTTTTATATTCCTGATACAATGCAGTGTCACTCCGTCAAGAGCAATATAAAGCATTACAAAGCAAAACATTGCTTTGTATCAAGCTGTATTTCTGTTCACTGAATAACACTGCCACAAGAATCAGCCTCTCTGAATCATTTATATCTTAAGGGAAAATTACCTGGCTGACACATCATTCTTTAATGTAATTTTTCCACATCTTCCTCCTTCCAAAGGAAATGCAGGGCTATACTTTAAAAACCATTTATACCGTAGCATGTGTGGTATTTGGTAACTTTACTTGCATTAAATAAGCAAGTACTCCTAAAGAGCCCTTACAAAAATTTCAGTTGGGAATCTTCAGGAGTCTCAAGGAATCTCAGGAATCTTGCCTAACCGTACTTAAAGAATTACGTGTAAGTGTGCATTATTTTTGCAACTATTTTTAAGGTTGGGGAGCAGGCAAAACATTTTTATATGTTTGTGTATCTCCACATTTTCATATGCTGAGCTAAATGACAGAAAATGTAAGTGCCAGTGCAGCTCAACCTATTTATTTTCTTGTGCCTGACCTTGGAAAATAGTGCAATCACTGGTAGCAAGAACAGCAAATTCATCTTCATCAGGAGTTTAGATAAGGAGAGGTTTTACAGGAAGTTGTAAGAAAGAAAAGCACTTTCCACAGCAAAATATATTGTTAGCAGACCATTCTTGTAAAGTGTCTGGTCACTGGAAGTTATTTGAAAAATAACTATAATAGAAACGTTATCTTAAAACACATGAGATTTTGAAAAACTTGAGTGAAATCCAAATATCTCGGGTGGCTCTTTTTCATGGAGAAGCACTTCTGAAAAGTACAAAATTAAACTGCAGTTTCCTAATGAAACGTGCCATTTATAGCACTTCAGTCAGAAAAACTGATTTTTTTTTCTCAAAAATGAAAATTAAAAAGTATTTCCATCGGCAGGAAAACATACACACCATGGCTTACTCAGAGCTCTAGTTCCTGAAGGTTTGTTCCCTTCCAGCAATACTTTTAGTTCCTGCTCATATTCCTATCTATCTCCTTCTTTCTCCCCCTACTCAAGACCACCCTTTTTTTTTTCTTAGAAAAATTAAGCTAAACTTCACTCAATTTTTCACAAAGCAGTTTAAATTACAAAAATACTAGAACAAAGTTCTAGTAAGATTACGTAGAGCTGATTTCTACATCCACAAAGAGGGAAGGACCATAGCAAATATAATTCCCCTGGTTGCGTGGAAGACACTGATGCTTCAGGCTATTTACTGTCTTTTCAGCTCTGGACCTCCTGAGGACTCTCATCAGCCCTATTGCTGAAGAACCTCAGTGCTCCTCAGGCCTCAGTGTTTTGACACAACTTCAATTCTCTCAAGTAATGGTGCATTGGTAGAATAATTCCCTGTTCACAGTACGCCTATTTGCAAGCTTCACTAATGAAGAGCCACTGATCAGGACATTCCATGCCCACTACATTGGACAGTACTTATCCCAGATCTGGCACCTTTTCAGTATTTTCATTAATGATTTGCACAATGGAATCAATAGCACTTGGATCAGCTTCACAAACGATGAAATGCTTGGAGAAGCTGCTAGCCCTACACAGGCAGCAGGATTTGAATTCAGAAGGATGAACTGAAGAAATAGAATGAATTACGGAAATAAGACGTATGCAGTCATTTCACTAAGGACAAACCCAAAGCACAGCACTTGGGAATAGTCAACTGAACAAATATGAGATGAAGATGACCGGGCAGCAGCTCTGCAAATGGGATCAGAGGTTGTAATGGGTCACAGAATAAACATGCGTCAGTGATGCCACAAGGTTGTGAAAAAGCAAATATCATCCTGGAAAAGTATCAATAGGTAGTCTTTGTTCATATGGAGTACTATCTTCAGCCTGAAGCATCATTTCCAAGAATGCCAGGAATCAAATGGAGAGAGTACAGAGGAAAGCAGGTAGAGGTCTCTGAGCCTGGGAAACACTGAAAGGACCACCTACAAGTGAGAAGACCGCAGGGTGACAAGGTAACAGTCTTCAGATGGGTAAAAGGCTACTGCAGAGAGACCAGGTGGTAGTGGATTTAAACTGCAACAAGAGAGAACTGGACAAATGTCTACCAAGAATGATACCACAGATTTTCTTTGAGAATACAGGACGGCCTAGATAACCTTCAAGGGCTACATTCTTTGTCTGTTTTCTATGACTTCTCTAATGCAACATTCAGTAAAACCTTTGAATTGCTCCAGAAGCAAAAATACAAACATATCAGCAGCTTTGGACACTTATTTTTCAGCGCATAAGTAAATTGATCTAGTCCACCCCCACTAAAAAATACCACCTCTAAATTTAAAGGAGCGTGACCAGCAGGTCGAAGGAGGTGATCCTGCCCCTCTACTCTGCTCTTGTGAGACCTCACCTGGAGTATTGTGTGCAGTTCTGGTGTCCTCAACATAAAAAGGACATGGAACTGTTGGAACAAGTCCAGAGAAGGGCCACGAGGATGATGAGGGGGGCTGGAGCACCTCCCGTATGAAGAGAGGCTGAGGAAGTTGGGGCTGTTCAGCCTGGAGAAGAGAAGGCTGCGTGGAGACCTCAGAGCAGCCTTCCAGTATCTGAAGGGGGCCTATAGGGATGCTGGAGAGGGACTCTTCATCAGGGACTGTAGTGATAGGACAAGGGGTGATGGGTTAAAACTGAAACAGGGGAAGTTTAGATTGGATATAAGGAAGAAGTTCTTTCCTGTGAGGGTGGTGAGGCACTGGAATGGGATACCCAGGGAGGTTGTGAATGCTCCATCCCTGGCAGTGTTCAACGCCAGGTTGGACAGAGCCTTGGGTTACATGGTTTAGTGTGAGGTGTCCCGGCCCATGGCAGGGGGGCTGGAACTAGATGATCTTAAGGTCCTTTCCAACCCTAACTATTCTATGATTCTATTCTATGATTCTAAGAAAAAGTCAAAGACCAACATCTCTACAGCAACTGAGAGAAAAGGGAGAAAGTAGGAAAATGGCTTCTTGGGAATGAATAGAAATATTTTCTAAATAAAAAGGAAAAAAAATCCAAAACCAGTAACAAGATGATTGCTTAAAATCGGATTCATGACCGTGTTAATGCCTGACAATTGTATATGAATACTGAGGAGTTTTGTAAGAAATTACTTTGTGACAAAATGAATAAACAAGCTTTAGGAAAATAACTATTTCTTGTGTAGACACAACATTTTAGAATAAAGCATTCACCTCGTTCTTCAAAGTCATTTTTCTCCTGAAATGGTTTTTCCCACAGGAGAATTTTAGCTACAGAGTTAGACCAGATTAATTATTGTAACTATTTTACCACCACCCACAACAGGAAGGAGACGGGCTCCTCAGGCTTCCAATTAACCAGAACCTGCTCTTTGGACTCCAGGGTGGGCTCAGTGTTCCCTGGTTTTTATTCTTAATCTAGATAAATTCTAACTGGAGTTTTAATTGAATTATCCCTTTGCTTGGGAACATATTTCCTGGTATTGTTGAAGTTGGCAGAAGAAAAGAAAGTAATGCTTTGTGTCAAATACTTCTCCTCTACAGATGGGAACATGTCTCTGTCGTTGATTTCATTCACAACTGTGTGTACACAGAAAGGCATAATCTGTCTTTTTAAATTTAGAGAAAGGATTTCTCAGGTAATTTGGAATAGATCTCAGAGAATCCCCCTCAATAATCCCCCTTGCACTGCTTGCATGGTAGTATTCACTGTTACTCAAAACCTGCAACTCATTTATATGATTGTCATTTTACACCTATAAAATACCATGAGAGCAATTTTTGTATTAGACTATTTAACAGAAAGCAAAGGTTTAAATGTTCTACCCTGCACTGGGCATGAGAGACTACAAACTTGGGTCCTGATCTTAATGCCCGCATGCCTGTGAGGGACCCGCTGACTCCACTGATCTCAAGGACATAGATGCCCCACTGAATGAAGTCAAACTATTACCAGAGATAACAGCAGATCACACCATCCTCTGTCTCTTCTCTTCTTCCATTCATCTGCATCAGAGCACACCATGTATCTCAACTCAGCCCAGCTGCAAGAACAATTACCAGCCACCAGATGTTTGTGATCAGAAATTTAGCAAAAGATACAGCGTCCAGAGCCGAGCTGATGAAAGATGTGAGCTTTCCTTACAAACTTTATGCAAAGTATCTTATGTTGCTTAAAATTACCCTGGAAAGCCACTGATTTTGCACTGAAACAAGTGAAGGAGCTTCACAGCTGGTTTGGCTGTGAGAGCAGTGACACCCCAACACAGCACAACCTTTCTGCAGCAAGTTTCTTATCGTGGCATGAATGTGCATTTGGAACCTGAGACCACGCTTGGCTCAGGAGGATTACAGATTCAAAGACAGTGGCTAGGAAGAGCTGACTGAAGAAAATCCAACTGCCTGCCCACTCAGATTTACACTACCAATTATATTATCTGTACAGCATTCCTGTGTGCCTAGCTTCCACATGATTACCCACAGATAGATAAAGAGCTGAATTAGTCATACAGGTTCTGATAATGTTTAAAAGAATCACAGATTGGTTATTGCAGGCATTTTAGGGGTACATAATAACAAAAAGATTTGTAACTTCTACTGCTGAAATATTTGTTCAAATACTTATGTGGTCTTATACAGCAATGATTATCCACATATGGTAGTGTGTATGCATGCATTCTTATGTACACAAGCATGAAACCTGGTAGGGCAATACTGTAAAGTTCTACAAGTGCTTTAAAACTAAAGTTTTACATGTGCTTTAAAACTACAAGCATTTGCACAGTCCTCTTAACTTACTGAAGTAGAATTCTCCTTGCTTAATTAATTCAATAATAAGGAATATAAAACCTTAAGAGATGTTACAATAAATGTACTAGCATATTTTGCACTCTATAAAATAATGTAAGCCCTCACTATTCTTCGGTACTTTTAGATTGTGGACTTCTATTGGATAGGAAAGAAGAACAGCTACACTTTGAAATGCAAAGGCTGTTCCCTGAATGCTGGTCTCAGGTGCTCACACAGAAACCTATTCCCTAATGTATACATTTAAAAATAGATCATCATCATCTAATACTGTCTTCACCATGATTTATAAACAGCTGGAGCTTCAGACTTGAACTAACTTATTTTTTTTAAATGTAGCACTCAGTAAGAAAGTATTTTGTTTACCTACAAAAGCGTGCAGTGACTACACAGACTGACTCCCACACCTGCCTTTTAATAACTGTGGGATTTGGGGCCCAATCCCCACAGAAGGTCTTCGATTACAAGCAACATAATATTATATAAATACAAGATCCCTACAGTAGTAAAAGGTGTTTTGAAGGGCTATAACATTTTGGGAAAACATTTATTTAATGTAGGTCATGCTTGCCTAGAAAGGTTGGTCCAGATGATCCTTGAGGTCCCTTCCAACCTGGTATTCTATGATTCTATTTCCGCTGCATATAGAATCATAAAATCATAGAATAGTTAGGGTTGAAAAGGACCTTAAGATCATCAAGTTCCAAACGCCCTGCCATGGGCAGGGACACCTCACACTAAACCATCTCACCCAAGGCTCTGTCCAGCCTGGCCTTGAACATTGCCAGGGATGGAGCATTCACAACTTCCCTGCACAACCCATTCCAGTGCCTCACCACTCACACAGTAAAGAACTTCTTCCTTATATCCAATCTAAACTTCCCCTGTTTAAGTTTTAACCTGTTACCCCTTGTCCTATCACTAAATATACTGAAAGTCACCAATAAACATACAACTAGGTAAGAACTACTTCTAAATTTGTACATTTTCTAAGACCATTTCGGCAACAGTGAAGGTCTCTGAATTTCTATCTGACAACGGATGGTACTTGTTACATACTATCCCAACAATATTAAAATAAACAATATTTGTAAAAATTGGGGGTTTGGGTCCAGGAATGATGGGCATGTCCAGGACATAATTAACCTTCATCCCCTTCATCTTATAACAAAGTTTTCATTCATACTATTAGCTCAACTATTTTATTTCTCTGTGAGACTTTTTCATTTCAGACTGTTTACCAGAAAATTATATCAAATTAGGTCATGACCTGGAGGAGTACTGTAAACTAACAGTTTAAAATAAGTTAAATAAAGTTAAAATAACTTAGCAATCAGAACAGAAAGGAACTATTTGTGTTTAACAATAGCATTCGCTAGCCATGATTAACTCTGAAGTCCCATTATAGCATGTTCCTCTTTTTAAATGTATTACCTATGTTGATATTAATTCACAAATCTACTTAACGATATCTCACAAGACAGTATTTTAAATTATGCTAAACTTCTAGTGAAGGGATTCCATTCCTTCCTGTAGTTTCCTTGGTCATTAACAGCAGCCAAGTTCACCTGCTCGTAAGTTTGTCCGCATGTGCATGTAAGAGTACTGTATGTGGAGTAAACAGGAGAGTTTGTGATCTAGACTTTCTGCATTTCTTAACATGAGGTGGTTGTGAGTTATGTAGATTGTTCCACACAGAATCATAGAATAGTTAGGGCTGGAAAGGACCTTAAGATCATTTAGTTCCAAACCCCCTGCCATGGGCAGGGACACCTCACACTAAACCATGCCACCCATGTCACGTATGTGTTAATTGAGTTAAACGACAAAATATCATGATGTATTCTATACATGTAAGTTCCTTACAGAACTGTCTGCTATTTTCAAATTCTTCAGATAATTGGTACAATTTACAGTTACTTTTTCCTGTCATACCACAACAAAAGCTTGAGATTTCTTGGTACAGCATGACAAAACCCATATCAAATTCCAGTGCCATTATTTCCATCCTATCACAAATACTGCAACATGAAATCTCTCACATCCAGTCCTGCAAAAGTTTTAGTACATGCACAAAATCATGCACATGATGAGCACATGACCCTATTCAGAGGAGTAAGCTTCCTACACAGCAAAGTTTTATGTCAGTATTATGGCAACTGAGCTACTCATGGGCTGTAACAAAATCCAAATCACCCAAAGTTCATACCATCATCTTTTCTCAATCCAAAGAAGGCCATCAGAAGAAGGGTGTAATAAGCACTTCCACAGCAACAACCAAATAAATGCACTCTCTCTTTCCCTGCTGAATGCACTGACAAACCTTTTTATGGAGTCCCATAAATCTCAAAAAGATGTGTGTTGATATGGCAACTGCCAGTAACATCTTTAATGGTCAAAGGTAAATTTCAGTCTCTGTTAAAGGATTATAGCTATACATTTAACAAAAAAAGCAATGGTTAAATGAAATATGAAGTACTGTGCTGTCTATTGAATAATTATGCTTCTAGCA